CCCAGACCCCCAAAGGGATCTAAAAAATAGATCCTAGGGTTTAGGGTTTAGGGTGTAGGGTTTAGGGGTTTAGGGGTTTAGGGTTTAGGGTTTAGGGTTTAGGGGTTTAGGGTATTCTTCCCAGACCCCCCGGGAGGATCCAGAGTAGATCCCCTAAGGGGGTTCCTATAAAGTACGCTTTAGTAGTTAGGGTCCCTAATTAGGGGATCTATTTTTTAGATCCTTTTGGGGGTCTGGGTAGTTCCTTTTTGGGGTTGATATATTGAATCCTATAAGGTAATCCCAAAAAGGAACTACTATGGGGCCTATGGGTAGGTTTGATTTTAGCTTTAGGGTTTTGGAGGCTTGGGGTTTAGGGTTTAGGGTCTATGGCTGCTTCGGGTTTAGGGTTCAAGTTTCAGGGGCTTTCGGGTTTAGTCGTGCCTAAACCCTAAACCCTGAACCCTAAACCCTAAACCGTGTTAGTTTTCAGGGTTTGGGGTGTAGGATGGTTTCAAGGCTTCAAAGTCTTGAGTTGGAGGTTTAGACGTCCAGGGGTTTACGTTTTGGGGTTTAGGGTTTAGGGTTTAAGGTTTAGGGTTTAGGGTTTAGGGTGTTTATTGAGAGATCAGGGCGCAAGCTTATGAAGCTGGGTGCTGCAGCTATGTGGGGCCTGGGACAGGTGTAGGGCTTCAAGCCTCGCACAGGTTTTTGTTTCGGCGTTGCAGGGTTTTACCACGGTCCCAACAACAAGCCCATTATTCTGTCAGATATAGTCCAACACGTGCTAGCTGGGCCCAGCTGCTGTAGCACTGCAGGCGTCCGCCCAGAGCCTGTTGAACAGACAGTCCCAATTCCTGGACCAACTGCCCCCTGCCAACGAACCAGAAAAAACTCTACAATAACAACACTACATTTTAGGCTGGCGCAGCAAACAATGAGCCCAATAGTTCGTGAAAAGCAAGCATCGTATCCAAACCTTAACCTGAACCCTAAAAGATTGAAGTCCTAAACCTTCAACCCTAAACCTTACAGTACCTTAAATCCATCCCTAAATCCTTAACCTTTGAATACAGTGCATGAACTCAAAATTGAAATCTTACACCCGAAACCCTATTCCTGAACCTTACAAGGCCCTAAACTAAACATGACGCCTTGACATTCGAAGCCATAAACCTTACACTACCCTCCAACCCTATACCCTAAACCCTAACCCTAAACCCGGAAAGCCCTCAGACCCTATGTCTAGGACATTTTCAGGTGGGTAATTACCGTTATAGGAGCCTTGTAGAAGGTCTATATACCTTATATTATAGAAGCCCTATATACCCTAAACTCCCCACCTGCAGTTTCCTTTACCTATAACACTCTTCATCCGTGCCATGCGGAGGCAAGGTTTGGTCCCGAAGCCACAGCCCGGATCTCGGATCTCTGAAGAAACGGCGCCATCTGCACGTACACGCATACATATACATATACATACATACATATATATATATATGTACACATACACATACATATAGATATAGATATAGGTATACATATACGTATACGTCTACATGTACATACAGACATCCATATATCCATCTACGCATCCATCAAATACATCCGTCCATCCATCCATGCATCTATTTGTCTATCTATTTCGCTAGCTAGCTAGCTGACTATCTATCTGTCTATCTATCCATCTATCCATCTATCTATCAAGTTATCAATCAATCGATCAATCAATCTATCAGTGTCTATCTATCTATACACAGGTAGGCTAGATCTAAATAGACTTCTAGATCTATGTTCACATATACTCACAGAGAAATATTACTAATGTATGTAAATATGCTATAGGTAGATAGATGGATGGATGGATAGATAGATAAGTAAGAAAGATAACAGGTACATAGATAGATTGACACAGAGAGAGGCCCTGAAGGTTCAGGCTTTTGGGGGTGCGGGACTGTTGAACCAAGAACTACAGGTGTCAAAACCAGCATCTCCCGGAAGGTGTCTTGCAGTCTTAAATAAAAAAAAGTTTCGGGCTAAATGTTCAGTTTTGGGGTTCGAGGCTTAAGCAAGTGTCTGCACGTTTGCACTGGACATGAACCATTGGCTTCTGAATACCCGCCAAAGTCCTCGCAGGAGCCCGAAACATAGACCCCAAACCTCGGGAACACTTAAAGTTTAGGGTTTGGGGTTTCGGGTTTTCAACATTAAATATCCTGTGAAACGACAGCACCAGGGATGTCTTCTTGCTGTGGTACTGCATCACTTCGTAGTGTAGTTTGACGGAAGACTCTTGGGGTCGGGCCGGAATAGTAGTAGTGGTGGTTTAGGGTTTAGGGTTTAGGGTGTAGGGTGTAGGGTGTAGGGTGTAGGGTGTGGTGGTAGTAGTAGTAGTAGTAGTAGTAGTAGTAGTAGTAGTAGTAGTAGTAGTAGTAGTATTAGTAGTAGCAGTGGTAGTAGTAGTGGTAGTAGTAGAAGTAGTAGGCAGAGCTCTTCCTTAGCAGTGTTCCTTAATGCACTTACAGCATAGACATTCTCCCAACCCTTGTCTAACTATGCAGGGCGCCCTAAAGACAAGCCCTCAAAAGAATCCTTATAGAAACCCATTTACCAGGCCCCGTAAACACCAAACCCTAAACCCTAAACCCGAAACCCACTACCAAGCTGCTAAACACCGTAGTTACCTAAACCGTGAACCGCTTCAATCTGCGATCAAGGCTGACTGCGCTCCTCTCATCCCACTACCTGTGTAGTTCTCTAAGCTAGGGTCCCTTTTGGGGTCCTTTTTATGAGGGTGCCGTACTATATTGGGGACCCAAAAAAGGACCCTAATTTAGAGAGTTACCCACCTCGTTCCGGAATCCTGAAGTCGCTGTAATCCCGAAACCGAATGAAGCCTTGGAAAAACCCTGAAACCGAAAGACTGAGAGGACATTTGATAAACCCAGACAGACCTACAGCGATGTATGTAAAGCACTGTATTGTAGAGCCCAATCGAAACCGCTGGAACACCCTATCAACTCCATCAAGAAACGCTGTCATATCCGAGCCCTAAAGCCCTAAGCCCTAAGCCCAGCCAGGAAAAGCGTCATAAAACCCCTGAGCCCTAAACCCTGTATCAAACTCTAATACAAGCTGAAGGTTTTGTCAGGCCTAAATATGGCCAGACTGCCTGCCCACCTCGGGCTTGATAGACGCCTCGCCGCAGACATCAAAAGGGCCCTCAAAAAAAAACCCTAAACCCTAAACCCTAAACCCTAAACCCTAAACCCTAAACCCTATCAACCCTAAACACAACCGTAAGCTCTGCCACGAAGGTTCTCGGAAGCCCGTGAGAGCATCGCGGCTGCTCTCAGTCGGGGCTTCGATGTCCGCTGCTGAGCTCTGAAAGGGGGGTTTAGGAGTTTAGGATTTAGGGTTTAGGGTTTGGGGTTTGTGGGTTTAGGGTTTAGGGTTTAGGGGTTTAGGATTTAGGGGTTCAGGATTTAGGGGTTTAGGATTTAAGGGTTTAGGATTTAGGGGTTCAGGATATTTAGGGGTTTAGGATGTAAGGGTTTAGGGTTTCGGGTTTCTTGGTTTAGGGTTTAGGGGGTTGTCTAAGGGTCCTTTGGGTTCTGATCAGGTTCTCTGGTTGGCTTTATAGGGCTCTGATTGGCGTCTTATAGGGTTGTTAGTCTATGTTTGAGCTTTCTTCATCCACACAGCTTCATCCCCATAATGATGTCGCTTTTCTCCATATTGAATAGAGGCCCTTGGTTGCACGGGACATAAGGAATCAGGGTTGAAGTAAGTGTATGCATCCTTGTGGCCTCGAGTGGGTGAAAGTTTCTTGTGCCAATCCCCCACACGTCGTCTTCGTCGGGTATAAGACTCCTAAACCCTAAACCTAAACCCT